TTTTTTTCATCAAAGATGTTTAGTGAATATTTATCATTCTTTGAAATATTTTAAATTTTAATTTAATTTAAAAATAAAATAATTCAAAAAATATAATTAAAAAATTAAGGTAGAATAAGAGAAAAGTGAAAAGTTATGAGAAATAATATTAAAAAAAAAATTATTTCCATGTGAATATAACATTCTCATCTCTTCCCATGAGATATAGAAAGAGAATAAAATATAAGCAATATAAAAAAATAATTTTCATATCTTTTATCAAACAAAGGAATATTACATTTCTAATTAAACTCACATATTTTTAAAACTCGAAACATACACATACTCAGATTGTTTATTGTTTATTTATATAAATAAATGTATATATAATATATCATAAATGCATTAAATAAAAATAATATAAAAAGTATTTGTGTTTATTTTTTCCTAAACCTTCTCTCATATTTTCCTTCGAATAGGTGGGTCTATACAAAAATCTGTCGTTAATGTAACAGAAACACTCCAACCAAAGGATAAGGCTAGAGCTGAATTAAAGCGAAGGGCAATTAGCACGTGATGGCCTTCTTTATTGATTCCCCTTTCAACAATTCCATGCAACTAATCACAGTTTATTAACAGAATATTCTTCATAATTGTACTCTGTCTGTTTAAGATATATGATATATCTAAACTATAATATTTTTTATATAACTAAAACATATAATAAATAAATATTTTAAATATATAAATTATATTATAATTAAAATTTATCATAAATATATATTTTTAAATATATAAATTATATTTTAAATTTATAATAAGTAATATATTTTGATGTAAAATTATTTTAACTGTTGATATTTTCTTTAAAAAATATTAAATTTTAATTTAAAAATTAAAATAAAAGGATAAATTCAAATAGATAAAAGATTTTTAAAAAATCTTAAAATATTCTAGATCGAGATAAGTATTTCAATTTACATACAAAGAAAATTTTAAAATATTAATGATATTATTTATAGAGGAAAAATATTATTTATCAACTGATAATAGTTGCCTGAATGAAAATTATAGATTTAAATTATATAATTATACATGGACGATTAAAATTAAAAATTAGATAATCATCGGATAATTATTAATATTTAAATTTAATTAATTCTATCTTTATTCACAGAGAATCAAAGGTCTAATCCACATGTTTGTTGTTAAATAATAGGTCCGATGAATTTTTATGCTTTGTCTTAATTTATTATGGATGGTTTAACTTCCTCATATTTGTTGTCTTTATATTTCCTTAGTAATTCTATTGTAATTAGTTTTTATATCTAATAGAATAAGTGTTTTAGTACTATTTCTCTATATTCTTCTTCCTCCTCTTATATATTAATTTGCATTTTTAATATGATATCAAAAACAAAAGTTTCTATTAAGAGTATTGCATCTAAGAAAGAATTATCCGAAAATAAGAGAGGAAGAATTATTTCCATTTAACTATTGTGATTACTAAATTCACTATAATAATTTGTATGTGTTGATATATATATATATAGTTTGTGTGTGAACTGTTGGTTCGTATGATAAAAGATCACACTCACTACAATGTTGTGTGAACTGAATGTATTCATTTTCAGATTGTTTCAATTTTTAAAGGAAATTATTCTGCTGCCTAATTTTTATATACCTAAGGACCCTTTTGAACATAGTATTGGAATATGAAAAATATTTTCAATTTGACTACTACCAATAATGCGTGTCCCAAATCCGAACGAATATTTAATTTGTAAAGTATAGATGCACACGTTGTTGCCTTGTTGGGCAACTAACGGTCAACACCCGATGAATATTTTTTTCATTTTCAGATTTACACTAATGTTAACAAGAGAACATATACAATACATAAAATGGTATCTTATACAGGTATATGACATCAGTGTTCCTATTACATTACGTGGAATTATTCTTATAAAGCAATGCAGGCGTGTAACGATTTTTAATAGAAAAAAAACCATATCTTTATATCAATTATTCCCTTCTCTATATGACACATGTCACACATTGTTTTTATATATATGTTATATTCATTGTCGCATTGATTTTGCTAATAGTCAACACATGTCTAAAATTATGAAAACACAAAATTAAGTGTGCTATTATTGTTCACACGTGATCTGAGTAAAAGCTACTATAATATAGTTTGGTTGATCCCTAGTTTATCATAATGTTAAGATTCTTTTTTTTATATTGATCTCGTGCAGGTTATGGGTCAAAAGGCAAACATCGCGTGTAGCTTAATTTAACATAAAAAATTAGCTACTTTGAGGCGACTGATTTTGTATCAGTTAATTACACATAATAAGTAACAGGTTTTTCCTAATCCATCCTCTTATAACACACGTTAAAGAATTTATATGTGAAAAGTGTTCATTAAAAACTATAATAACATTATACGAAAAAATATATGTAAATATAATTTTTAATAAAATTTTATCACTTATTATTTTAGATTTAAATATATTTTTAGTCCTCATAAAATAAGTAAGTTTTGATTTTTATCCTGTAAAATCTTTTCAATACTTTTCATTCTTTTACACTTTTTAAATATTATTTTTTCTTATAAAATATTTTTCATTCTTGTAAAACGAATATATTTTAATTTTGGTCTCAATATAATTTTTTTATCCTTCTAAAATATAAAATTATTATTTTTGGTTCTTAACATAATAATAATTTTAAGATATATAAATTATATTTATTTTAAGAATTTATGAAACTTTTTAAAGGTGTTATACATTAATATAATATCACTAATAGTACTTGAGATTATCATTTAACCTTTTAATAAGTAAATAATTAATTAAAAATAATTACATAATAATGAAAACTAAAAATAATAATTATAAAATTTAGAAGCTGAAAAAAAGAAAAGAAAATTAAAACTTACTCACTTTACACAACTAAAAACATATTTAAATAATTATTTTTTAATAGTGCCTTGAAAATTTATTAGCATTTTTCTAAATATTAATTACACTACAGAGGAATGCAAAAATGGGTAGAATTAAATGCACTATTCTTCTTCAAGTTTTAATTAAGTGAATTAAATATTTTAGTATTATATTTGTAGAATTTTAATCCTTATGTGAATATTGTAGAGGAGACTTGAATCCCTCGTCCTTACTTTCAACAAATTAAAACACTATTTCTTTAATATATAAATAGAAATTCATCCTATATTAAACTAAAAATAAATATTGTAAACCAAAATAATTTTAGATGACATTCTTCTAACTAGAACGTTTTAACTATTTTTATTTTCAATGAAAGTGTTTTTTTGGAAATTTTTATAACCTCTTATGAGTCTTATAATTTAACAATATATATTTTTTCTATATATATAATGATGAAAAAATAATATGTCATTTTCATTTCTATAAATTGAATTTAATATTATTTTAAAATAAATTATCAATAATAATTTTCTCTAAATCTTCTTTATATATAAATTAGAATAATTATCTTAAATAAAAATGTTTTTAGAGAGTATTGTTTTTAGTTTTTTTCTTTAAAAATTGTGCTTTTAGGTTATTAGCTTCTTATCTCTTTTAATTTATCATTCACATTTTTATTTTTAAATTAAATTTTCATATTTTTAACAGAAATTATCCATAGTTAAAATGATTTTTATATCATAATATAAAATATTTATTATATGGTAATAAAATATTTATTTTTTTTACAAATTTTAAATATAATATAATTTTTTATAAGTAAAAATATTTATTTATTATAATTTTCTGTTATAAAAAAAATCTATGTACATTGCACATGTGAAAATACTAATTATAATATATAAAGTCAATAAGAACAAAAATTATACATATATTTACTACTACTAAATAAAATAAAAAATTATATATATTATTAGTATTAATTGAAAATATATAATATAAGTATTGGACA